AACTTATCCCATATTCACTTAGCATTCTAATCAAATATTATAAATTATAGGAGGGCTGTTGAAGACTTGTTAAATTTTATAGTTTACCTTTCGTTAGACAATCACTGAAACCGTGAAACACTGGATAGCCGTTTTGACCTAGTATCAATCAGTCAGTGGTCTTGAGTGTTGTTAGAGGTATGATGGCGGTTATCAATTCCCGGTTGCTCACACTGTGGAAGGGTTCTTCTGGAAGTACCTGAAAATGAAATTGAATTAAAGGTTTTCTTGATGACCTGAGGGCGTGACTGCAGTGCCCAAGGGACAACTGCATGAGATCGGTTACATACGACCTTTTTGTGAGTAATTTTCATGTTAGCTCCATTCTTGTTGAGACCTTACCGCCGGAGACGGATATCCGTGGGATAAGGCGATGTGTGCATTTTTAGGGTCGATCTTTTCTAACCCCTCCCCTTCTTGTGAGAATCGAATCCAACACCTTCAGGTCTCACAACAAGTGTTTAATCTTTCAATCTGAGATCTAATGGTGCCATCTCCTAGACTTGAAAGTCTGGTATGTTCGATACTCGATGGAGTCTTGATGATTTTCATCTGTGCTAATGATAATAAATCCTTTTATATTGTTCAGTTCTTGTGGTTATTTCACATTACACATAAAGAAAATAAATGTCCAAGTGAATGCTTAATTGTAATGCGATCTACTAGATCGAAGTTAAAATATTTATGAATTTTACAGTGGATTGAATTTAATTTAGAATCATTAAAAAAATTTCAAAACAATTCGACACAATAAAGTAAAGTTTTGTCTCAATCTTCAGTTATATTATACTTCCAAATAGAACTGATCTTGAGATGGTGGAGAAGATTTGTAGCTCAGATAGATGATTTTGATGGAGTTTTGTAGTTTGTGTTGGATGGTTTGGTTGTAGAGCTTTCATTGGTCATCTGAACGATATCATCAGCATTAGGAGATACAACCAAAACAAAGAAGTAAACAATAACAGGTTGAAGGTCAACAAGAACCAATCAACATCAAGATCTACAGAACAAGCTGTGAACAATATGTGGAGAAATTCGAACACTTCACATCTCCCTAAAGTTTGTGCTGATGATGTCGTTCAGAAGAACCGATGAAAGGTGCACGATCAAACCATTTAGCTCAGAGAACAAAACTCCATCAAAATAGAACTGATCTTAAATGGAATATTATTGAAAACCAATTACTATTAGCCTCATGAAAAACATAATACCTTTTAGTTATTAAGTTACAATAGGATGTGTACTCCATATGTGTTCGAAAGAGACCTGGGAAACAGTGAAACAAGGTTCTGTTTATATTACCTGATAATTTAAACTTTAAATCTGTAAAAATTACATCACTAAACGCCTACGGTTTTTTTAATGCTTTGATCACTCCATCCAACAGATACTAACTTGATCTGAGCTTATGCTACACATTTTTAGCGAATCCAATTTTATGATTCTCTTGTGAAATTATGATAAGTAGTTGGTTTCCACGTTCTTAAATTAGTAGGATACTTAGTTAACAGCTTTAAACAAGTTTATTTGTTCATCAAATCATTACTCCCCTATGTTGGGATCATCAAGTGGACTAATCTGGAACCAGATGCATGATAATAAGTAAAAGTGGTTAATCTACTAAAGAGATGGTAAATCTTTATCAACTCAGATGGTTGGAATATATATTACGTATCTCCAACCATCACAACCACCACCACACTCAGCAAGCAGTATTTACTGGTGTTAAGAGTAGATTGTGAGAAAGCTAGATATGCCCGAACCAAGACAATGTATCATTCCATGAAGTCCCTTACTATTCGATCAAGATGTGTTGGTGGGTGCAGGCTGTCTGTGCGCGGTCCACACGATTATCATAACCAATCGTTGGAGATTTTGATTGAAATTTTTCAGAATTGGTTACAATTGTGGTGTAGATGAGTTCACTCTTCGTCTTGCCTTAAATCTTGAGCTTTGAAAGTATCTTATAGTCCTTATTCTAAGAATTCAGGTATATTCTATGCAATTTATTTAATACTTTTATCGAATAGCATTTCGTTGACCTGTTTATTAGGCCAATAACTAGTTTATCAGAGGTTCTGGAGTCAATATATTTCTTTAGATATTACTGTATTATCACGCTATACGCAGATGTTATTTTCGAAAATCATCGTTCCCACACTTTTAAATCAGTTTCCAGATTCCCGTCTTATTCGTTACGTGTTTTTAGCTTATACAAAAATTGGTAATCATTATCTCTCTGTTTAGTCAAGCTGTGGGAATATTACAATTTAGATTGTGTTTCGTCATAGTATTTACATCTTAGTCTAAACTATTATTTGTAAGGTATAGCCTAATCAATATCCGAGGATTCTAGCCTTGACATAGAGATTTTCATTAGTCTTCCAATCGAATTGCTTTTTCTCTCAAATAGTATATTTTTTTTCTTTTTAGGTCCTGAATTGAGTCTAGCCGATTTGATCTTGTTCCCACATTTGCATCGATTCGAAGTAATTATGGGTCGAATAACCGGTAAAAAACCAGAAGAAATCAATGAACTAAATATGAATGATGAATTACGTAAAGAATTCCCAAAATTGACTGAATTTTTAGATACAATGCGTAAACAACCATTTGTGATTGATGTTACTATCCCATATCGTATTCATGTTCAATATGCGGCTTCAGTACTTTCAGGTCATGCTAATCCAGACATAGAATAGTTTCTAATTATTTCTTTATAATAATTCATTTTGTTTATTTAAAGACAATATTAATTTGATGATATGATTGTTAGGAAAATGATTATCATCGTATTATAGTACAATTATAAAGAATTGACTAGTTATGTTATTTATCTTTCTATAAACGATAAATTCGATGATGGTATATCGTAGGTAAACATCATCATCATCATCTTTTGTTTCCATTATTTTATTCCTTGTAAAATGATTTTCTTTTAGATGTCATTTCCTATTAATGTATGTCGTAGACTGATAGCATAATCATACTCACGGTTACTGCATCTAATGAATAAAAATTCCTGAGTGTAACATATGGTAAATGTTAGTTCCAATCAATAGTATGGCTCCCAAATGCCCTGGTACGGCCGAGAGTGGGGAGAGTCCGCTTTCCCTCTTGAAACGCTTTTACATGACCACGCGTATATAGCCTCTGTCAGGGAAGTCCTACTCACTGCGTTCTCGTAGCGTTACTGTTGTTTACGAAATTGAGAGGACGAAAAGCGAATGTCTGGCTCTTTAAACAGGTTGTTGAACACGGAGATTCCACCTAGGGGAGTTAGAAAACCCTGACTCCAAACCAGTGGTGCACACGGGCTGGAGTATCCTGAGGCAGCGAATGGCGTATGAGCCAATCGTTGGTCACCGGCTATCATGGGACTGCTTCTCCTGACGTTGCTCTACTGGGTTGTGGATCAGATCTATAGAAAACAACCTGCTTCGGTTTGGGCTCCCGGTCAGTATCACAGCCCTCAAACAAATCAAATGATATTTGTGTGGCGCATATGTATCTAGTTCCTCCTTGTACCACTATCTATGTGTCCGTATAAATACAATAAGATAGGAGATTAAACATATTTAGGCGAGACTATAATTTTCGGACGAACCAATCACGTATAAGATAACAAGTCTCAGATTTTGGCGCGAAATTCACTCATCTATTTGGTCAAATAGCGGCTTGGCATTATAGTTGATGTCAGTTCGTGATGGAAATCCTAAATCTAATTTCTAACTTTAATCATCAACTGTAAATTATAATTCTAATCCCTCACTTGGTCGTAGTTATTTGATGGACATTCTCAAGGTCAGTTTAGCGTCGCTCAAGAGTCGTCAATAAATTACAGTCTCACCTAGATTTACAACAATTTATCCGTTTAGGATATGTTGTAGCTACTAAAAGGATTCGTGACGCGCGTTTCGTCCTGTTTAGTACTCGTCAGCTGGATCTGCTTGCATCCTAGTATTGGTTGTTTACACTTAAAATCAATGCTTTTTATTTCAAATGGCCAACGCGTTACCCACCAGGCTAATGATTGCAGATAACCATTCACTTGTGAAATGATTATGATGTTTAGACCATTATGAATACTGGGCTTAAGTCATCCTGTTGTTGATATTTATGACTGAGTTTGATCAGTTTTTGTTTTCATAAATACATGTATCCTGTACTGATTGGATTTGATATAACCATTGTGTCACAAGTTATTTAGAATAGGTGTATGGAAAATGACAATACATTAGCTTAAACTCCTACTGATAAATAACAATATATCTGCTGGTATTTTTCTGGCTTATGAAACTAATCAAGAATTTCAATATAGGAGTCTGTTTGAACATTTCACGTCACCTTAGCACTTTTTATAGTGACATCGGTCAGCGATCAATATATATCATGTCGTAATAAACACTACCATTATATTCCTATGGAGATATTCCTTTAGGCCTACGTTATTAGATAAATTTTACGAATTATTACTTATTTTCGTTCAAAACCCAACACAATTGGTAATCCAGTTAGCCGAGTTCCTTGAAATATGTTCCTTATCTACTCATCTGTTTTATTTTTAAATCTTAGGATAGTGTCAGCATATAAGTACGGAAAAAAGCTGCTTATGAAATATTACATCTTATTTCCTTGGTCAGCCGTAATGGGTTAGTGTTTGACGAAATCTCAACACGGATTCGAAAAGCTCGTTTGACTTTTGCCAACTTACGTCACCTATGGCGAAGGCGAGATATCCATCTATCGATTAAGGGACGAGTATACTGCGCAACAGTTCGTCCTGTCCTACTTTACAGCTGCGAAACGTAGCCATTAAGTGTAGAAGATACTCAGATGTCTTAGAAATATTGCTCGTATCTGCTGGGATCACAACGTAAGTAATAGTGAGGTTACACAGATACAGGGTATTAGAGAATGATTGTAAAGTAGTTGATAAGATTGTCAATCTTCATCGACTGAGATGGTTGGGCCACGTGTTACGTATGCCCGACCACCGATTACCATGACGCGCAATGCTGGCTAGTTAGAAGAAAGTTAGGGGCGACCAAACCAAAACCTGACATGAGTGCTTGAAGTCACCAACTTCTAATCTGACCCATGTTGGTAGATGCAGACTACTTGGTTAGGGTCCGTGTGACTATCATAATCAATGGTTGGTGATTCTGGTTGACTTGGTTCAGAATCAATCACAATGGCGTAGGTGTATACACTCTCTGTCTTCCCTTAAGCTATGAGATTAAAATCGCTTCATATCTTTCTTTCTACGAACTAATTCTTTCTTCCTGTACTGTATCCTTATATACAATTTTTCTTTTATACATTACCATCATTGAATTAACTACTTCTATGAATCAGGTGTTTATCTTGCTATGCTAATGAAGTATGGCAACTTGGACCGATGCATATATGTGCTTGGTCCTATGTTGTAATTGACTAATTCCCTTGATCATATTCATAGAAAATTTTGAACGATAAAATTCTCTGAATAAATTAAATCAGATCTGTGGACTAAAACTTCAATTTTTACTCAATTAGATCATAGTTTTTAATCTAAGATTTAGGTTATCGGATTAGAATATCATTGAATTGGATTCGTTTAACAACACTTTAAAACACTTATAACATAGTATCTTCTATTCACAACGCTAATATCATGCATTATTCGGTGAAGAAGAAAACAAAACAAGAAAGAAATATTGGTTACAGTAGAAATTATATTTACAAATACATTGTATAGTTGATTCATAGAGAATGTAATATTTACTATGTATGTACATTAGAAACAATTTGTGATACCATTGCATCAAGTAAACTTAAAGCTTGTTCATAAATACTTTCATGTTTTGTATTCTCTGTGATGTTTATATTATTGTCATTTGATTCTGGTAATTTGATCATATCAAGAAAATTTTGAATTGAGATATGTAAAGATGATCCATTAGTTTTGTCAATTTCAGAATGTGTTTGACCAGTATAGATAGCAAATATACTAGGTTCATTAGAACCATACTTTTTAGTATAAAGCTTTGGATGAGTTACATCTATTACAAATGTGATTACTGGGAAACGTAGAAAAGAAAAGAAAATACGATTTATTAGTAGACGCATTCTTTTTTAAAGTAGCGTAATTTATACTTATTTTTGTGGAGATCCAAAAAACTGATTAGGTGACCGCAAGTTCTTGCGTACAAACTCATATGGAATTTTTTGTAAGCGAATAATGGAAGTATATATTGTTTTATTTAAACATAAATATTGATACAATAAGGCACCAAATATCTATGCGCCATACTTCATCATTCGATTTGTATGAAGGCTGGATTACTGTTCTGGGGCACCGAAACTGAGGCAGGTGTTTTTCCACAGGGTGGTGGAGCAACTTTAGGAGGTGCAGTCCCACGGTCGATATTGACTAACAATAGGTTTATGTTTCATTCGTTCCCTGAGGATGCTGGAACCTATGTGCACCATTGGTTTGGAATTAGGATTTTCCAATTTCCCTAGATGGATCTTCCGTACCCACCACCAATCGGGTTAAAGCATCGGACATTTGATTTTCGTCGTGTCAGTTCCCTAAACAATACCGTTGCTGCAAAAACTGGAGTAGAACCTCCCTGGTAGTGGCTGTATATGTGTGGATAGAACGACTGGAATATAATCGGATCTTCATTGCCCCTCAACAAAATACATTGGTTTGTGTATTTCGTTGACTATTCATTTATGTAACAACATGTACACAAAGCACTGAAAAGATGTACGTATTGGACTATCTACTATAAAAAAGCTGAGATCCCATAACAATTTAGTTTTATTGACAGTAATTTAGTGAATAATTTGATCTATGAGAGTATGTCCTACACACAATCAACAGAATAACTATTCCAGATAGGCAGACAAAATATGCTCATTTTCTAAAACAAGTCTGATAAATTTAGTCACTTCTTTCACGATACAGATATTCACATATTTGTGATACTGACAATATATCCATTAATGAACAGAGTATATGAAACATATTTGAGTTTCTGATGTACCAGCACCAGTAATGAGTGAGGTAGTTTCCTACGGGATGGGGTCGCTAACCCCATGCCCAACCCTCCTTCTTGGAACCGGCAGTAGCTCCAGGTGGAGTTCAGCACTAGTAATGAGGCAACTATAATTACTAAAAATTGGGATGACTGCGAGTATATGATCAAAAGCAAAGTATGGAAATAGTGCATAGAACATGACTTGTTTCGCTTATCTGCCCCCAAATGTCCTGGTACGGCCGAGAGTGAGGAGAGTCAGCTCTCCGTCTCCAAATGCTCTCATATGGTCGCGTGCATACAATCATTGACAGGAAATTCTTACTCACTGTATTCTCGCGGCATTACTGCTGTTTACAAAATTTAGAGGACGAAAAGCGAATGTCTGGAGCTTTAACCAGGTTGGTGGACACGGAGAGTCCACCTAAGGGAGTTGGAAAACCCTCATTCCAAACCAATGGTGCATATAGGCTCCAGTATCCTGAGGGAGCGAATGGCATATGAACCAATCGTTGGTCACTGGCTACAAGGGGACTGCTTCTCCTGACGTTGCTCGATTTCCTCGTGGATCAGACCTTTAGGTCAAAGGCTCCGGGTGTGCCTCCCTAAGAAAACCACGTGCTCCTGTTTGGGTACCCGGGCAGTAGCTCAGCCCTCGCACAAATCGAATGATTTATGTCGCGTATATCTATCTGGTTCCTCCTTGTACCAATGTTTATGTGTTTAAAATCTTTGTTAATATGAAATGATTAAGAATAAATAACTTACAAGCATTTTGGATTGTATGACATACTGATGCAATTGTTGCCCGTAGTGGTAAACCAGACAAAAGAAGAGCTAATGAGATTGCGTTTATGGCTGCAGCCACTGTTCTAGGATGATTAGTGCCACCAGTGACAATAAACAAACGTCCAGTAAACTAGATGACAAAAGAAATGACTAATAAACTATATACGAATAATACAAATAAAAGATAAACTTTACTCCTTCGGTAAGAAAGCACAATCTACTTTTTAAAAAAAAAAGAAACAGTACATTGCAGTGAAAAAAAAGAATAAGTGAAAAGTCATGATATAAAATGGTTTTATGAACTGATTACTACTACTATTTTTCTATCTAAGGAGAAATATTAGTGCTGATTTACCACAGTACATGTGAAAAGGGCTTGTCAGTTATGTGGTGTTCTCATCGCAAGGTTTTAAACATTTATTATGGAACTCTAATACGCGTTTATATAAGAAAACTGTCTGGGAAACCAACATTTTATTTGGGCATAAATTTTTACACTTATAGCTTAAAAAACAAAGAATCCTTTGAATTAACTGCTACTTCGACCACGTATTTTTTTTGGTAAACGACCCAGTGCCTCCAGGTTTTCAATAGTGGTCTAACATTGACAGGTTTATGATCTCAATTGAAACTCGACAATCTCTACAAACCTATACTGAAAACAATTCTTCCTCCCAATATATACATCTAGAAACTTAACTAATCCTCATGCTGTATCTATTTTCTTGTTATATATAATTTTGATCCTTTTTAACCGAACTACACACTATTCATATTTATCTTGTTTAACAAGAAATTCATGTTACTTGTTCTATTTATTAAGTTATACATATAAATAGTCCCGATTAGTTCTGGTTGATGTAAAGCTGTGGAAATGAAATAGCAATTCACTTACAATAATTTTTCCAGTATTATTTTGACAAGTCCTACTTTAGTTATATCTGAGACAAGCAAATTATTACTTTACCATGAAACGTTAGTTAATCCACGAATTCAATGTTGGGGTGCACGCTGAATATAAAATACCAACTTCAACTTAGTCACTAAAAGAATGACAAAAGTTTTGGAATTTTTATACGATTGTATCAATAGACTGTGAATAGAAATCTCATGACAAAGTGTTATTTCAAAATAAAGTTACATTTTATTTTCAAAAGTGAAAATACTAGGATGAAAAATAACGATATTATAACAATTTAACCTCAGTCAGTCGGTCAGTACCAACGCAGAACTTCGTACGTACATACATCAGTTCGAGTTGCCACACCACATTAGCACAGAGATGCAGTGGTCGATTCAAATCCCGTAGTGCTAGATGTAGTAAGATTATAAGCTGTAATCAGAAAATTAGGGTTTGAAGATGTTATTCAAGGACTATAATCCAGTGAAATAAGTTTGGAAAGAGAAAAAAGAAAGGGACATGAAGAAATCAGAAGATTAGAATTTGGGAGAACACAAAGAGTGGATGCACCTGCGCCATTGCAAACGATTTTGAGCCATGTCATTCAAGGTCTCTAACCATTGGTTGCTTTCATCTCGCGGTCCCCAACCAGGTAGTCTACACCTACCAACATGACTCAGTCCACTTGTCAGTGACTTCATGGACTTGTACCATGTTTTGGTCTGGCCGTCCGTAGCTTTCTTCTCAATTTAACCTAAAATATGTAATAATTACAAAGGTAAACAAACTTGAAGTTACACTTTGTAAAGTGGTGACTTCAATGGATAACGTTTATTACAAATGTCTCTTAAGATGTATAAAGGATACCAACCTAATTTCCCCGATATTATAAAGGTCATATATATAATGACATGATCTCGTTATGATCATTAAAATTATTTTAGCAAAGCAGCACTGTAAACTTCGAGAGTTTCGTACTATGCAGCACAAGATCTCAATTAAACGGAAGATTTTCAATTCAGAAACTGTCACACTCATAGCGCTAACCTTAGATCGTGGGAACTCCTTCACATCAATCAGACGTTCCAAAAGATTGTTAAGGTAAACTTCAAGCTCTGATTCCTTTGATGTTCGTTGTCCAGTACGAGGTGTAACTGTGACGTCAACATATGCACGATGAGTAAGTTCGTCATGGATCTTAGCTTCATCTGGGCCGTATATGGAAAAAACTACATGATGTCCAGCAAAATCCCATGTCGCTGATCCTACAGCATTACAATCAGTATTCGTCTCAATAAACAAGCTTGTCGAATCCACCATCTTTACGTACTATCCTGTGGATAACAAGCAACACAAATACATTTAGGAATTACTATTAGGGAAGTCGTACATACTGTTAATCCTTAAATAATGAAAACCAGTAAAGGAATGTGTGGAGATGTAGCTTAACGGACTGGACCTTTCGACTATTAGATTTGCCGTTAGCCACACACTATATATTTAGTCTCAGGCAGCTAAGCATCACTAAGGGTAAAATGGAAAGTTAAGGTAGATACTTCTTAAGCTCGACATCAACGATCATGAGTTATAAGCCGCAAATATCACTTATTTGATCCTGTGCTTTTATCACAATAAATTCTAAATGTTTGCGGTAACGACATTGATCATATTATCTTCTACTATGAATTCACAGAACGGACAAATAGTGTCACTTAAACTATGAGAAAGTACATTATCAGGAAACATTACGGAAAATTTACTGTATCTGATTACACAATCGTATACCACACGCTATTTCAAGAACCCCAAACTTTGAGGCAGTCTCATCAGATATTTTAAGTCACAATTGTGAAAAAAAATCAAGAGTCGACTCAGATCTGAGTTTTCCAGAGATTTACAATATACCGAGAACATGATAATGATGCTGTCCTGGAACGACTGTGAATACAGGAATGAATAAGTACATACGACAAATTTCTTTACGTATGTGGTGGTTTAAATTCCAAGAGTTGATCACATATCCAAGAAGGCAAAGATTATTACGAATTAATTCGTAATTACAAAACCATGTGGATCGGTGATACAGGCTACGCGGTCTTAGTCGGTCTCACGAAACCCAGTAACTTAAGCCTCTGTATGAAATCATAGTGACAAAATTTCTAGCAGATTGTTGCTCAGTTAAGAGATGTCACAAAATAAATAAAAGTCACCCTTTGGTCAAAATTACCTCTTCTCGCTGGTACAACCTTGAAAAAGCCAGGATTGTTGGCGGGTATTCTGTATTTGAATAGCACGATGGGTCATGAGTTTGTAGACTGCCTTGCATTTTTAGTATGCATGCATTTCGAAGAAACGCTCTTTGTAAAGATCACTTCATTTATCACATTTAGCTGTTCGTTTTTCAACCAGATAAAATTTCCGGATTGTGCATTGGTGTATCCTCACTATGCATTTAGCGTAAATATAGGCGAAATACCGAGACATTTTCACTCTATGAGAACATTTATAGTAATTTCCTCGCTATTTCCCTCTGGCATGCGACAAGGTATGCATTATATCGCGTTTCTCTTTTATTTTGCTTGGGTGTTTGATACAGGCAGTAGATCGGCTAGTTCGAATAAGACTCCCGGCAATATATCTGTTTTTCCTCGAAGGCGGTTGTTAGTTCGACGCTTCTACAATTCTAAAGAATCCAAACGTGATTATGACGAATTTTAATGAGTGAGTGGGGCATAATTGTCCTAAGTGGAGATAATGCGTACTTGATACGCTCACTTGAGGAGCAAAGTAAACCATGTTGAATGGTGGAGGCATTTCTTCTTTGGTTCCAAGTGTACATTTGACTTTATATTTAGCCAACAAATTCAAAGTAACTTGGTTGTTAATAAATGCTTTGGGTTGCTCTACGAAATGGTGCGTATGAAATAAGGTTTTTCAAGATGACTCATAATTACCCGTGTTTTACAGGACTTACAGTATATGATTCGTTAAACAGAATAGAACTTAGCTCCTACATCGCAGTAAACATTCACATTGGATAGGGTAGTCGAATATATTAGACAACCGTCAGTGGTGTAAGCACTATGAAGTCTAAAATCACATGAAAAAAAGGGTGTATTTAGAATTTTGTAACTTGGTTTCTTCAAGATTGTGCAAATGCTTAGAAAAAATCTAATCAGTAAATAATGAGTTACATCATTGCTATAATTTAGTGTGTCTTTAATTAAGGGTTATCGTATTTATAAACTCACTCCTTGTTTTTGGTTAAACATCAAATTTTTGTGGACAAAATAGAAGCTTTTGCACTGCAGGCTTTGGCGTCCAGTAACACTGGACCATCGACACCTTTAAAGAGGGACTTATATGTGTGAAACAAGCAATAAAGAGGGACTGAAAAATCAACATTATACATTGACCTGAGTTCTTAATGATATAGCAGCTTTCCTTTTGAAAGACTTAATAGACATTGGTTGGATCAACTCCATCGTTAGCAAATAACAAGGCTTGAGTACACTGAAGGTGTACAGTGTGTCTTCACTCCTGATTGCTATGCTGAACCTCTAACTTATGGGTATCGTCCTTAATCTTTTATGTTTGGATTCAAATCGGGCAAGTATTTTAGAGAAAAAACTGAGATTATCATTAGAAACTCATTCAGAGATTATCATTGAGTTACCTAAAATACAATGGATAAAGATACAGTGATTCGATGCATTGTTCGCAAGACTCAAATCTGAGTGCTCAAATTGATTTTATGGCTTGCCTTTGGAAAAGTTCTGAACGAAACAAATCCCTTTTAAATTCATCGGGAGTTTCCTTATTTACTTGATGAACTGCCTTAATCGTTCAGTTGTTCCCCACCTCTTCTCTTCACATTATTTTAAGGAAAGGCAATGTTTTAAGCAGTCTAACTACCGTTAGGTAGTCTTTTTACAATCCATTAAATAACGTCTCCCAAGTTATTACTTTGTTGTCTTGTTATTTTTATTACTGCTCCCATATTTGCTTGAAGTTTCACTGGTTTATTTCTCTTTTCGGGTTTGATTACAACTGTAACCAGTGTAATGTTTACAAATTCTAAATCGTAGATACCTCCTTGGTGTTACTAAATCTTTGGACGGCTGTTTTCACTGTGTTTTTTAACACTACTTTATGGCTATGGCTATGTTGGATTGTTATGCTTTGGTTGTTTTGTGAATTGATTGCTGTTTGTTTTGTAGACAATTGCAACTGACTGTTAATTTAATAGTTGATTGTTCATCTTTTGAGCGAATTTTGTCGACCTATTCTTTTTATTCGGGTTGAATATTGTATCTTGACTAATAGAAATGTTTTTTCCATCATCATAATTAGGTTATATCAAGTGTATGCACCCACTAGCAAAAATGCCGTTCAGGTGCGGTTAACTGTACATACACTTACATTTTCTCCTATAGTACCTCTTTCGTGCCATTTTGAACGTCTGTCACGTTATTATAAAGACGTCAGTGGATATTATCTCCTTTTTAATTACTGGACTTGAGAGAATGTAACTGTAAAGCTATCGATAGTCTAGGGGTGCTTGAGGAGTCCACCTCAAGCTCATACATTCCTCTCTCTTATTCCTGAGATTTGGCGATCAATGATAAGTGAAACGACTGCCTAAGTTCACAATGGTCCTAGTTCTCAGGAATCTGCGGTGAAACTAATACATATTCACTGTACAATAGAATGCAAATGGTGCAACATATGATTGGACAGATTAACTGCATAGAATTCCACTAATAATTAAAAACAGCAACTTGACAGTTAGATGCATGCATCAGAAAATCAGACTTGATTTCTGTCTGATGAGGGTACTACGACAAGAATCTCCCGTGATTATGATACTTGGTTCTAGGTTTAAGAGTGAACCCATTCACTAAACAATATAAAAAACACATTAATGAGATAACAAAGAAAATTGGCGATTCACTCACAAAGAGCTCTAATACGGCTGGGACACTGCCTTAAATGCTGTCGCCTGTATTAAATGTTTTCTGAAAGGTGTAGTGAAGGTGTAGAATTATCGTCTACTATGATATTAGTACTGCTCTAATAATAGACCTAATCCTAAATTTGTAGATTTGTCATGATATAACTGCCTAATCTATAAGATCTTACGTGGAAGTCACACCATCGACTACACCAACTCACTGTATCGTATCAATTACCAATACATGATGTAGAACAAGGTTAGGCTAGAGAAAGAACAATATATTTAATATGAATAGAAGATATAAAGTAACATTGAGATGGACCACGCCTGCATGGCCGAGCCATGCCATACGATCAAACCCAGTCCATTCAATTCCTTGTTCGCGCCTTCTCCATTGTTAGGTATTTATCCGCGTTAAATATTGAATATCTATTTTCTGAGTAGTCTCGTGTTCACAGCTTTGTGGATTGTGCGGTTATTGTCCAATGCCACTACACTACTCTCCCACCAGAATCAACGTGATGTTGGTTCGATACCGAATTGGATGGGATCGTCGTGCGCCGAAGGTTACCAAGACTGGGAAGAATCCCCGGGTAATGATAGGCTGAAAGATAAATCAAAAAGACGGCGGCAGCATCTGGTCGGGAAATACATGTAATAATTTTAAAATATCTGCCTTCATGCTTAACACACTTAAAATGACAATTTGGGTGAAGATTATTCGAGCTATAAAAAATGGGATTATAGTAATAATAATAAAACAATTCGTGTTAATAGCCGTTGGTTAATAACTTGACGTTTAGGTAGTAAGTTTTTTGTGTTTAGAAATATTAAAGTAATGAATATTGTAGAAATGTTAATATTGGTATTAGTTTTGGTTTAATTTATGAAACCAATTAACAATTATGCCGGTAACCCGTCCATATGTGATTTCCGATTGCATCTGTATTAGTAGGCTAACTGGAAGAACAAAAGTATTACCATGGAAAAGAATTCCAACTACTGTTCCAGTTAGTTTGATACGGTTTATTTAGTTACGGGGAGATTTTCTCAACCTCATTTTTACTTGACCGTGATAGAATTTAGTAATACTACTAATACACATGAATGGTTATCAAAACAATATTTAAATACGTGAGTGATGATTATATGAATTTTGGACAGATAGCTAGGAACAAATCGTTAAACATGAGTGTATTCGTAAGAGACATGCTCTAGACTCAATGTTCTGATCTGTGGCGGACTATTTATTTATATTTATACTTGCCAGCTAATTGGGCATACAAGTTAGTTGCAAGTATGCAGTTTATTATAAGGCGGAATACGATTTACTTGAGATATAGTGGTTATAAGTTATTAAAATCAGTTAAGCCTAAGGGTCATATTACGAAGTGATGTGGTGCTGCAAGATGTATTTAGCTAACTAAGTTTTTACAAGATGATTAATAGTGAGTGATGCTCATGTGATTATCAGGGAGAACATAAGTTGTAACCAGGGGGAGTACACTCCCAACTCACGTCTATGATAATGGCTTGAACCTTAGTCAGTGTTGGGGTAAATTCGACATTGATGTTTTCAGTTTGCAGGAGATTTGCTCGACTGCTTATACTGATTATTTGCATGCATGATTGTGTCGCTAAACCATCAATTAGACTGACAAGGTTTTGAGATATTTACTGAATGAGCAACTGATAGAGAAACCTACTGTAATCATCTGTAGTGAATGAAGATAAAAGAAAAAACAACACTAGTGATAATTACAAGTCAATTTGCTGATCGATTTTGTTAACAGTTTCATTAATTTTATCAATCATATTACGTGATTGTCAAGTCATGACAATGCTTTATGACGATATCCTGAAACTTTTAAATTTAACTAGTCATAGTGTTGAATGAGGATTAGTCAGTGGAAAAATAGGTATTGTTGCTTTAGGTGATTCGAAATTATCAGAAATTTGTAACGTTAAAGAATCCGAGACGCCTAATTTAATTATAAATTTCAATTCAGAAATATTCGTTTAGTGTTAATTCTAGTAGGCTACGGAGTTTTGATTCTAAACGTTTATTTAGCCAACAGCTACTTGGGGATTTAGTTATTTTACTAGTGCAGTTGATAGTACCTAAATTTTTAATCTTATTATCTAAACTATGTTCGCATTTTAGGCTGCTAATATGATAAACCAATCCATAAACCCAAATACTATTAGCAACAACGACTATGGTGGGTTTATTGATAAATGTTAAAGGCGATTCAGATGATTTCTAAATTCAAAAGATATGAAGATATAGTGTAACGTATGTACGGGCCAGGTTAACATGCAGGTCGTTGAAGTATATGACGATTTA